TAATTTTACAATTAAAGATATTCGTAAATAAATTTAACAGAACATTTTTTTCAATAAAATGTTTTCCTTTATATTTTCTAAAAATTCAAAAGTTTTTAGTTTTATTTTCAATCAAATTTTCCAATTGACAAATATAATTTATAAACATTTTTTTTATTTTGAAAAAACTTTGAATTTTATTAAAACAATTGAAAATAAGAAATGGAATTGATGCAAATTATTTCCTTATGAAAATTGAGAATTTTCTACAAAAATATTAAGGGCATTTGAAACTTGATGACGTCACACATGCTTTGCACAAACTAAAACGTCATCAAGGTTTAAATGCCCTTAAGAAACGGGAATATCTCATGTTTTTCTTTCCAAAAGAAAAAAATGAGTTTGTAAATAACATTGTTATTGAGAAATAAAAATTATGCATAAAATGGGTATATTTCCTACTTCTTAATTATAATTTTTTAACAATTAACAATTTTCTAGTATTTTTTATAAATAAAAATGAAAATAATTTGCATAATAATTTAGATCAGTCAAACGAAAGTTATTATAGAAAAAGCATAATTATAATAATCAAAATGGGTATATTTTTCATTTGTTAATCATAATTTTTTTTTAAATTTTCTAATTTCTAATATTATTTTATTATGAATTATGAAAAAATACCTTCATATTTTCGATTTGTCAAACAATATTTAAAAAAAACAAAAAAAATAATTTCAAACTGCGGACAGAATGAATAAATTGCATTATTGAAAAGAAATTACAATTTGCGGGAGGAAAAGAAATTTCTCTAGATAAAAAAAAGTTTTTGACGATTAGGGACTTGAGAAGGTTGACTCGTTTCAAGGCAATTACTGGGACAGCTAATTTCCAGGCGGACTCCATGGCCGCTAACTTCGTTAATGCATAATTCCGGGGTGGTTCCCCGGGGCAGCGTTGGCGTGATATAAAATCAGTAAGCTTTAGTAAATTTCGTTTAAACAATCCAGTAAACAATTTTCCGGCCAGTGCTCGGCAAAATAATGATACCCATGTGGAAACTCTCTTTCTCTAACATCTATTTCGAGTTTATAGCGTTTATTCATAGCTCGACAAAGTATTTTCTCTCAAGTACACTCAGAATTCGATTTAACTTTTTCATTTATATAACATTAAAAAATCAATATTGTCCCGAGAAAATAACATCTCACAAGCAACTCGGTTTGGAATTCTACTGAATTTCATTTTGTATTGATCGACACAATTCTTTTACTAAATTTAAAGTTCCTGTCGTTCAACCATGAATTGTTATACAGAATTTAGTTTCGGTTCAACCTAACAATTCTTCTACAAAATATAATTTCACGATTACTTGGCTCAAAATTCTTCTACTGTATTTAATTTCTTAATTTCGAGTCGATTCTATTAATAAAATTAATTTCGTGTCACGAACAAAATTGTTCTGTAGGATTTATTTTTGATTCAACACGACAATCGTGCAAAAAAAACTTAAAAGACTTAAAATTCATGTTCTGAATTTAGTTTCGTAAAAATCCGTCAGTTACCTTTCGTGTTATGTTGATACAAAAACACTAACCACATGACGCACTTTATGCCCATTTGAAACAAAAACTAAACGAATAAATTTCCAATCCCTCGGAATGAAAATAATATTTACGAGATAAATTTCGTGTCACGATGCATTACAAAACTGAAAACAAATAAGTACACCAATTTATAATTTCATCTCAGTGTTGTCATCAGAAAAAAATAATCCCCCCCAACACTAAATCCCATTTCAATAAAATATAACACTCAATATTTCAAAGCCTACCCAGTACGACAGCATCAATACTTTCTAATCCTTTTATTAACAAATCTACCAACGCCTTCTTTACATACGCTATAATAATCATTTCTCATTAAATTTTTTTTTTTTTTGGTACATTCTAAACGAAGTGTAAAAACATTTCTCCGCAGTTACATAAAATTGCAATGAGAGACAGATCTCGACGACTCGCGCGGGACGGGAGTTAAAATAAAAATAAAAAAACTTCCATTTGCCAAAGTTCGATGATGTATCGACTTGTCATCAATGCATACCAGTAAATATTAGTGAGACATGGCGTTTCACTGAACACGTGTATGCACACACAAACATTTATACATTTACAAATATGTACAGATATGTATATATACAATTCAACCCACACTTTTAAGTTCTGCGGGGGTTCATATATGCCGCGCTGATGCATTTTCGTCATAAATAACATCTCGCTCGAATAAATAAATAAACCTGATCATCGTAACTCACAATTATTCCGGCGGTTTTCGCGGACCGATACCGCGAAACCGTCACTTTTAATTTGACCCCCATGCCCGGTGTTTGGCACGTTTTGATTTGGAATTTATGGCTGTGATCACGAGCTGAGAGATATATGATTTATCGAGTCGAATATAAACGCGGATAGGTTATTGCGCGGGCGCCAGGTGCATTTTCAAAACGATCGATACTATATATACTCGGTGGAAATCGATCGATCAGAAGCATATTCTCATTCTTTTTCATTTATGAAATTATAATTCTATGTTACTTCTATTCTAAGGACTATTTTTATTGAAAGAAGTAATTTTCATTATTTAATAAGAGTTACCATAGAAATTTAATTTTGTTTTTCCCTGATTTTCAGACAAAATTTTGACCTTGTCCCTGACCCTAAAGAATATTCTGATTCACTTTAAAAATTATTAGATACAAAAAAAATGTCCTATCACATTTATTTACGAATTTCTTTAATTAATAACTTCTTTTTAAATAAATCATTATTATATATATATCATTATATCATTATATATCATTATTATTTTTATATAGGCAGGGCTGGAACCAGTGAAAGTATTTAAAAATACGAACTTTACGGACCAAAAATAAAAAATTAAGGACCATTTACGGGACCAATTGCTGACAAAAATATAACCAGTTAGAGTTAAATAAGAGAACCCAGTGATAAAATTATTATTTTCAAGAATTTTTAACTAAAATTCTTCTTAAAATCGATTATTTTTAATAATTTTCGAATAAGTTCTTTGACAATTTTCAAATCCATTTGTTTACAATATTCAATTTAACGAAATTTCAATTATTCGTAAATTCTTCAATTAAATATATGGGGCCTTGAAATTTAAGGTCAAATTCTTAATTTCAATATATCTCAATATCGATTTTTTTTTATTTTTTTTCTAACCTATCCCAATGGAAAGCTTACCTTTCTTCCTATGAGCCATGTAAAAATCAGAGTGGGACCATGAAAATTTTTGAAGAAAATAAATATAAGTCATCATTTTCTATATAAAATGTAATGATAAATTATTTACTTCAAAAATTTTTATGGTCCCACTCTTATTTTTATATGGTTCATAGGAAAAAAGGTAAGTTTTCCATTGGGATAGGTTAGAAAAAAATAAAAAAAACGATTTTGAGATATATTGAAATCAAGAATTTGACCTTGAATTTCAAGGTCAAATTGAAAGAAAACAACTTTTTTTCATCACCAGCTTATAGCTCGTGAAAAACCCTATAAAAATCACTAATCATACTTTTAATTTGATTAATTTTACTTATCAATATATTAAATCGAAAAAAGATATTTTCAAAAAAATCAACATTTTAAAACTCCATAACTCAAAAAATATTTTATCAAATTCAAAAAAAATTTATTCATTGTTTTACCTGGGCAGTTGAGGAATTTTGCCCCATATATTAGAAAATAAAACCTTCAAATAATATAAAAAATCCTCAATTAAACTTTCTCAAAAAAAAAATTAATTCCACAGAATTGTTAGTTAAAAAATTTAAAAATTCAAATTTTCAAAGATTTTAATCTGAAACCTTTTCAAAATTCAATTATTTCTAAAAATTTATGCTACTCTAATTCTTTTAATATTCAATTATAATCTAAAATTTTAACTGAAATCTATTTTTAAATTAATTTTTATTAGAAAATTTAACCAGAATTCAATTATTTAAATTAAAAAATAAATAATTTATTGACTAATTGAATGTTTGTTAAAATTGAATTCTCATAAAGAATTCTATGAAAAAATTTTTAAATAATTGAATTCTTTTGACGAATTTTAATAAAATTTTTAAGAATAATTACATTTTTTCGAGGAATTTGATAAAAATTGTATTAAAAATAATTTAAATTCCGCAATGAATTTTATTATTTATCAGAATAATTGAATTTCTAATAAGAATTTTATTATTTACGAAAATAATTGAATCCCCGGAAAAATTTTACTATTTATGAAAATAATTGAATGATTGCGAAGAGATTTATAAAAAAATTTGTAAATAATGAAATTTCTGTGAAATTTTTATTATTTTTTGAAAATAATTAAAGATTTGTGTAGAATTTTATTAAATTTTTTTTTTTTTGAATAATTGTATTCTTTTGGAAAATTTTATTAGAATAGTAAATACCTATTAAAAATCATTAAATTGAGGAAATTTTTTTAAAATAATTGAATTTCGGAGAAGAATTTAATTATTTCTAAAAATAATTGAAATTTTGACGAGTATTTTTAAAAATTGTTCAACATTATTAAATTTTTGCCAATAATTTTATTACTTTTGAAAATAATTGAATTCTTACAATCAGTTGTTTTTAAATGATTCAGAAGCAAAAAGTCAGTTACTGATTGTCAGTTAAAACTATGTGCTTCAACTAATTCAAATTTAGAAAGTGGCCTCAACTATATAGAGTTGAGAAAGAATTCAGACATTTTTTCCTAATTGCTAATAAGATCCCCTTTAAGATTTCTAATTAAAATAACCCAAAATAGGTCAATTTCTACAAGGGGAATAGTGTGGAATTTCTATTTCACTTGAGTAGAATGATATTTATTTCGCCAAATAACGATTCATTTAAATAAAAATTCGGTTACATGCATTTCATTCCCCAGGTGAACGTCGACAACAACCGTAAATTTTATCCCATTTAGAGTGAAATAAAATTGCTTACCCAGTATACAGAGATCCTGCGCCAATTTTCCGTAAAAATCACCTTCCAAATTGCAAACACTTTTTATCTGAAACAAAAGAAAAACAAATTGCAAATTAATAATTTTATAACAATTAAATAAAATTTAATGCCAATTAAGGGGCCGTTCAAAAAATACGTAACGCTTTAGGGGGGGGGGGGTCAATCTATTTGTTACGGTCAGCAGAAAAAATGGCGCTAATGTATACAACATTGCGTTACATGGGGGGAGGGGGGGTCCAAATTTCCGAAAAATAGCGTTACGTATTTTTTGAACGGCCCCTAAAAAAGAATAACAATAATAACAATAATAATAATAACAATTCAAAAAGAGTCTAGAGTACAAAATTGATACGAAAAATGTGGATCAAACAAAAAATTGATCCAAATTTTTGATATCAACCTGATAGGGCCCAAATCGGACCATTAATTATCTATTAGGACCAGTTTCATACATTTCTACCCGTACTTTTATTAAGTAAACTTTATAAAATTCATCTACAATTCGAAAATAATTTACGATATTTTAATTACAGAGAAATGATTTAACCTATCATTCTTAATCCTGTCACGAAAAAGATAAAATTTCAAGAGACAAGGAGTTAATTTTTCATTTAAGGAGCAACTTCTCACTCCCAGGTGTCTACTTTGGAACACGACTCGTCCATCGACCTTATAGCGTCTCTTGACTTAGTCGCGCCGTTTTCGAATAAAGGTTGGATAAGAGTCAGTGAAGAGAAAGAGAGAGAGAGAGAGGAAGCGAAAGGAGGTGGAGGAAAACCCTTTAACGAGGAAACTTTTCTCGAAACGAGGTGCTTCTGAATTTTAGAGGGTAGCTTTAAATATTCGAAAGCGCCCACTCTCTCCCATATCCGCACTAATTTAACGCCAGCTTCCCACTCCTATTTTTATATACCACATACTCTCTCACACACACACTTCATCCATTCGAAAAAACACCACCTCTCTAATAGAGTTGGTGGACACTATAGAATTGTGTCAGTACGTGAAAAACTGTGGTTCCAATATAGTCTAGAATACAGAGAAACAGGGGAAAAAAAGGATTGAAAATAAAATTAAAAAAACAAAAAAAAAAGTATATAGTAAAAGAAATTCTCAATCAGGAAAATTGGCCCCGGGAGCAAGAGGAATAGCAGGAGCGATCTAACGATTTTGATTTAAAATTTGAAATTCCATTCGATACTCCAGGGGATTTTGGACGTATATGTGTGAGTGTGTGTTTAATATGTAGCCGATAGGAAAAAGCCGACGTCGAAATTGTCGTGAAACGAAATGGAAGAAACACGGGCATAATGAAAATTTTCAAATTTTACGCCCGATTATCTTCGTACCGGCTGCAAGAGGAGAAGGAAAAGGGAGAAAGAGAAGGAGTGTTTCCTGTGTGACATTTGGCACATTAAAATCATAATACCTTATCTCGAGAGCCCTCACACACCGCACTGTCTCGAATTCATTATAATCGCTTTCAATGATCTATCGACTTCTCCGTTGAAAGAAGAATAGTTTACACTGTGATTTACATTTCTATTATTGACGCAAATTCACATTTAATTTTTTCATAAAATTTCTTCTTGTACAGGACCTCGTCAATTTTCTTAGTTTGAAAAAAGTAGAAATTATCTCATTGTTTTTCAAATTGGTAGGTATTTATTAAAAAAATTTGTTAACCACCAAGGGGATATTTACTGGTGTATCATTTCTCAAGTCCTGAATACGACCTAAAATTTCGAAAATAACTTTCTAAATTCTAATTAGAAATAACTAATTTTATAATAAAATCTAACTAACTTAATAGTAACTAATTATAAGTTAAATTCACATTTAGATTATGTAAAAATAACTGAATTGGTAACTAATTCAATTAGTGAAATTTGACTATTTTTGTAGTTTATTTGCTAATAATTAGTTATTTTTTACTAATTTCTGAAGCAAAAAGTTAGACATGATTTTACTAATAAAATTAGTTATTTTTAACTAATTCAGATTTAAACTCTTTGCTTTTGAATTAGTATAAATTTTACTGATAAATTAGTAGAAATTACTACTTATTAGTAAAATTTTATTATTTCAAAAGCAAAGAGCCAGTCACTAATTGAAATTAGTAAATATTTTTACTATTTAAAATTTAAACTGAAAAAAATTAAAAATAATTTTTAAAATATTTACTAATTTATATGATATTGATTATTTGAGTCAATTAAATAGTATTTTCTTTAAAAACTGAAATTATTGATTCAAATACCATTTAATTGACTCAAATAAAAATTATTTGATTCAAGTAAATATTTAATTAATACAAGTAATCGGTTATTTGAATAAAAAGAAAATTTTTTCTTTCAGTGTAATTATCATAAAATTATCACCTATAAATTATTTAATGAATAATTTTACCTTAATATTTCAAGATTAATTCAATTTTGAAAGAGTTGCGTTTACAATTTTTATTAATAAATAAACTTAAAAATGTTGAAATTTTAGAAAATTTCAATTTTGCATGAATTTTATTATAAATATTTAAAAAATTAGATTTTTGAAAAATTATTAAAATTCAAATTCTTCTAAAAAAAATTAGTTATTTTCAAAAGTTATAAAATTCTTTGCAGAAAATTTTAATAGAATTTTTGTCAAAATTTCAATTATTTTCAAGAATTTTCTTCATTTCCATGTTTTTCAATATCTACAATTTTAATAAAATTTTCCAAAAGAATTTAATTATTTAGAAAAATTTTTGTTAAAATTCTACGCAAACATTTAATTATTTTCATAAAAAATGAAAATTTCACTGGAATTCAATTATTTACAAATTTTTTTAGAAATTTCTTAACAAAAATTCCATTATTTTCATAAATAATAGATTTTTTGACAAAAATTCAATTTTTTTCATAAATAATAAAATTCTTTTTAGGAATTTAATTATTTTTATAAATAGGTAATAAAACTCATCGTCGCAGAATTTCAATTATTTTTAGTACCTACAATTTTAATCGAATTCTTCGAAAAATGTTATTATTCTCAAAAATTTTATTAAAAATCGTCGAAAGAATTCGATAATTTAAAAATTTGTTGATAAAATTCTTTATGAGAATTCAATTTTAAGAAACATTCAATAAATTATTTATTTTTGTATTTAAATAATTGAATTCTCATAGAATTTTCTAATAAAAATTATTTTAAAAATGAATTTCAGTTAAAGTTTTAGATAATTGAATATTAAAAGCATTATAGCATGAGTTTTAAAGAAATAAATGAATTTTGAAAAGGTTTCAAATTAAAATCTTTGAAAATATGAATTTTTCATACTTTTAACTAACAATTCTGTAGAATTATTTGTTGTGACATTTGAAAAAGTTTAATTGCTGAGTTTTTTTGAAATTATTACAAGTTTTTATTTTTATGAATGGATTTGAAATTCTCAAAGAACTTTTCCAAGAATTATTAAAAATAATTGATTTAAAGAAGAATTTTAGTTAAAAATTCTGAAAAAACATTTTATTCGTGCAAATAAATATTTATTTAAAATTCAATGCACCTCAATGTAAATCTAAAAAAAATTGTCTTCTACATTTTTGAAAAGAAATGAAAAGCTTAAAGGAAAATTTAAAATCAAAAAGCCGTTTCAAATCATGACATTTTTAAAACATTCATACAAGAACTTATTACGAAAAGAAAAATATGTTTGATATGTAAAACTGTTTCACTAAAAAAAATATTAAAAAAAATGTGTAAAATAAAAGAAACATGTGCCCTATTTCTAAAAACTAATTTTATTACGCTTACAATTTTATTAATTTTTGGAAAACCATTTTTGCTTTCATTGTTATATAAAATTTCAATTCATAATTTTATTAGCGTGTAATCTCCTAAAATTACATCTAAATTCTTCAAATCACTATTAATACAATAATAACATCCAATAAATAAACTGTTAGACGATAAATTATTTATATTTCCTTTTCGTACCTAGTAACTTTTAATTGTCTGGATTTGAAATGAGGAGAAATCTTTAAAGGATCTTTACGGATCATTAACCCTCGTTCCCTATTGAATTTCCTCACACGTTCAATTCTCTAAACGTGATGGACTTTATCTGACTTTAAGTATCGTCAGCAATACACTTAAATACGTCAACGTGTATACATTTGATTTCGAGTTTCTGTATTGGTCCATGTAGTTTGAAATTTTTGGGGTCAGACAAGGAGAGAAAGTTGAGATATCGAGACAAAACGGATGGACAGATGGTCGTTTTTGGTCTCCCAACTGTAGAACCACGCGCAACGACAGGTTGCCAAGGTCCAGGGCACTACCAGCATTTCGTGGTTCATTTGCGGTACCCAGGGGTGCCATCTATTATGTGGGATGTGATTCCAACACTATCGTCTATATATACATATATACTCCCCCTAAAAAGTTCTCCATCTTCAACAGCACGCAGGGGGTTGTTTACATTTTTACCCCTCTCTCAAGGGCTAAGTCAATTTAATTTTCTGATTATTTTTTAACGAGAGATGCTCTTTTCTCCAATTTCCTTTTCATTACACGCAATAAAAAAATACTCTGCATTTTCATTGACACAGTGCTTAAATTTTGGAAGGGTCTAAAAATTCGTTAAATAATAAAAGAAAAACATTTTCACAGAAGGTTTTTGTAGTAGAAAGTGTAGGTTGAAAGTGGAAATATATAGTAGTGCAGAGTAGCCACAAAAATTTAATTTTGATTTTCCCTGATTTCCAGACAAAATTTTGACTTTTTCCCTGACCCTAAAGAATATTATGATTCACTCTAAAAATTATTAGATACTCAAAAAAATGTTCTATTAAATTTATTTACCAATTTACTTGGAGAGACCGGTGAAATTTCAACTCATCTAAATTTTTGTTTTATGGGTGGTTAATATTTCTCCTAACAAATTTTGGTATTTTAAATTATAATATGCTTCGAAAAATTAAAAAAAAATTTAATTAGTTAAAAAATTTTTAAATAAATATTAAAATTTCCAAAAAATAAAAATCTGAACTACTCTCGTAATTT